AGTAAAATATGGTTAATGCATTCGGTCTTTGAAAACCTCAACAGATATCTGTATCAGAATTTTAGGAGTCACCTAGCCGGGCTGGCTTCTTTCGCTTCCTTTGCACCTCAAAAAAAGCAGTGGCAATTTCATTTTTCCACAACTAACATTCCACAAAAGAAATAGGGCATGTTATAAAGTTTTGCCTTGAAATTTATGGTTAGGAATGAAATATTTGAATAAGAGAACAAAGTTCTTTTGTTCCCTTGGAGAAAAAAGTTTCTCAATATTACTTGGTTTGCACTGGGCAAACCAGAAGTGCAAAAGGGACAGTGAGTTCATTATCTTCATTTTTATGCTCACTTTCACTACAGAAAGATAGGAGGCATTCACAGCATAGAGGTTTTATGCATTGTTGATGGACAGTGGTCATGTTTGGAGAAGAGTCTCCTGATATTTGAAGTGGTTTCTTTTTGTCTGTCTTTATAGGGTGACTGGCTACCAGTCACAAGTAGTGTTCCCCAGGGCTCAGTCGTGGGGCCAGTTCCATTTGTCTTTGTCAATATCTTTATCAATATCTTTGTCACCCCTTTGGGTGAGGGGTTGACTGAGTGCCCCCTCAGTCAGTTTGCAGATGACACCAAGCTGGGTGGGAGTGATCTGCTGAGGGCAGGAAGGCTTTACAGAGGGATCTGGGCAGATGGATTGATGGGTCAAGGCCAGTGGTATGAGGCTCGAAAAGGCAAAGTGCCAGGTCCTGTCCTTGGGTCACCAGAACACTATGCGAGAGTGCTACAGGCTGGGGGCAGAGCGCCTAGAAAGCTGCCCAGCAGAAAAGGACCAGAGGCTGTTGGTTGACAGTAGCTGAACATGACCCAGCTGCGCCCAGATAACCAAGAAGACCACTGACATCCTGGCCTATATCAGCAACAGTGTGGCCAGCAGGACTGGCAAAGGGAGCAAAGCATAGCCTCTGTACTCGTGTGAGGTCTCACCTCAAACTTTGTATCCAGTGTTGGGTCCTTCACTCACTACAGGACAGACACTGAGGGGCTGGAGAGCATCCACAGAAGGTGAAAAGTCTGGAGTGCAAGCCCTGTGAGGAATGGCTGAGGGAGCTGGGACTGTTTAATCTGGAGAAAAGACTTGTTGATGTGGCATTTAGGGACACAGATTAGTGGTGCACACTCGTGCTGGATTAACGGGTGGACTTGATGATATAAGGGGTCTTTTCCAAACTAAACAATTCTATGATGCTGGGACCAGGGCAACTGAAACGTGAAAAACTGTGGAAATACTAAACACAGGAAGTGAAGACACTTGATACCAAAGACTGGATAATTGGTGATTCTAAGGACATGACATATTAGTAAAACTCTTCAAGAAAACAATAGTGGCTTTCATAGGTATACCTGGAAATCATAGTGACTCTGAAAGTAAAATGGCTTGAGTGCCAATGCAAATGACTGTCAGCCTACTGCTGCTATACACAGATTTGTTCTTTCTTGTTTCTTTGGGTGGCTGTCTAGAGAACTAATCTTTCAGTAATTTGTGAAATCACCTTTTTCCTTTCAAACTTTTAAATAATATCCTCTTACAAGAGCTGAGAGCTGTGAGCTACTTTTGTGTTGTTATGAAAATGATTATGTTACATTCTCATTCCATGGGCAGGAACAATTTATTCTTACTGTGGTAGTATAAAAAGTCTTGCAATGGAAAACTTGGCCTTATTTAACAAGAAAATGATTTTTTAATAAATTATTGAAGTGTTTATCATACAAATGCATTTTGATAGAAATGCTAGACCACTAGATTGCTGTATCATGACAGCTCTTCTATTTGCTTGTTAAACTGTAAAACTGCTAAACTGAGTTACAGAGTTTAGTTCTGAATTGCTCTGAGACATGTGTAATCACTGGCTTTACTTCTCTCATTATTTAGAATAGAACGATCTGAACTGTATGCCTGGAGAATAAATAAAATGGATATGAACCACAGAAACCATGGAATATCACAAAAGTCTGTATTATCTGGTAGCACACATTATGTATGAGGATATAAGGTTGTACTCAGATAGTTTATGTATCATGCAAATTACTTTTCCCCAGATGACCACAGTGAAAATGGGAGGAGTTTTAGAAGAACATGAACTGTAAGACATTGTTCATCATTACTAGAATTACAGGGGTTTTCAGGACACAGTAAAAAAGACATAGCAAAGTACACATACTTGAATAATGGCTGAAATTCAAAAATGAACTTTGCCATGTGAACAGAGAAGCATTCACTTCCAAACTATACTCTCTGTAGAAGTATGACATTATTTGTATTTCCATTTTCAAAACAACAAAGACATACAAAGCAGAACTCTCAATTCACAGCCTAAATCCCCTCAATGTGACAAGATGTACTGCAAATGTGCTTATGAACAAGTCAAACCCCAGTATTGCTCAGCAAATCTATTTTTCAATAATTTGATTCTACAAATGAAGATTGAGCAAATTCTCACTTTGGGACTCATACATAGTTCCTACAGATTTAGTAAGGAGATGAGCTGCATATGTCAAATGAAGAACACACCTTAGGAAGACCCTCTGGATGACTGTGAAGTGATTTTAGCTACTTTAGGAAGGAGGATAAAAAAATAATCTGGGTCCTGATTCATCTCTAATTTACCCTTCAGTAAAGTGGAAGTAAATTAGTGGCTAGAAGTGGGGTAGAAAAGAGGAGAATAAGGCTTAGGAATTCCTATTAAATATTAAACTGATACAACGATTGGTACTCTGTCCATGGTTTTGCACAATAGGATATGAATAATTAATTATTCAATATGTAACTCATACAATAATTATGGAGGCAAAAAAGTTACTCAAAAAAAGCAGTTTTAAAAGCTATCTAGTCCTAATGTTTTCAGGGAGCTCAGGTGCACTCTCTTTTGTTTTCAGTGCAACTGTACTGAGGCCATCTCTGGAAATCCAACATGGGGATCACAAAATATCCACACGGTCCTTCTAGATTCAATGAAGGACCACTTGGATGCTACAATGCAGAGGTATATTTACATGCACAAGTTTGTTCAGTGGATGTACAAGGAAGTAATTAGTCAATGCATTTTATTTACAGTGTATAAGAGTGAGTGTGCTTTTTGGTATGAAGCATAAGAGCACAACTTTCCTGCCTGTTTAGCAAATTCAGCTTTTTCATTCTACTATTTGCTGTTCTGGCACTTTTAAAATTTATTTTTTTAATACATATGCACAAAAAATGACATTTCTAAGCATCTGTTTCCCAAACTTCAGTTTAGGTCATGTAGCAAGGTGGATCTTTTAATTTTGTTTCGCAGACTTTACTGAAGTGAGAGCTATACTTTAATTTTCTTACTTGGCAATACACTCCTAGTCAACCTCATCTCTGCATCCCAAGTTACACAGCAACTTCTGTATTGTAATTCCTCAATTTCAAGTTACAAGTATGACCGTACGTTGTGCAAAACCTGTAATTTTTCAGGAGACCTATTTTTTCTACAGAACAACCAGAAAACCCAAATTCAGATAGAGTTCTGAAATAAATTAATGTGCAAACAGACAAATGACTTTCAGAAGAAGAAATGTTCCAGTAAATGAAAGAGAATTATCTTTTTCCTGTAGAACACTGTCATTTAGAATACTTTGCTTCATGCAATTTGTCTACTCAAGTATTTTAATGAAGAGTTACCTTCCAGTTTTAGACTGTTATGGTACTGATGAAGGCTTATTTTTTCTGTTCCCCAGAACAATTTCCCACTGGAACATATGACTAGGCAGAGCAGATTGATTATGGCAGGAGACACAGTAACAGGATCTGCAAGATATCATGGAAGAATTAACAAATCAAATGAGAGTAAATTACAAGAAAAAGTTTGTTAATAAGGAAGCAAGAGCTTTTAGCTCTTACAGTAATATCTTCAATGAGCTGCAAAAAATACACAAGAGAGAAAAATCCCAGATCTCATAGCACTGAATTTATTAACAATTTGCCATCACTCACTCCTCAGTGAGGCACTACTTGATTGGAATAAAACCACATTATTCAGGTTAGTTATTTAGAGTGGGAAAAAAACACATATTGTGGGGAATACTAGTGGTATGAGAGCACTGGAGATGCTGCAAACCCTAGAGTTTATTTTCTGGTCTACTCTGCATTCATTGCATTACTTCCCATTGACTTCTACAGTACTGGACTGAACTCTTTGACGTTTCTCTTTGTTTCTCTACAAAGTGGCTTCTAGCCTAGAAGACTCCTTTGTGAGCTCCTTGTGAGCAATTGAATAGATACATAAAATGTGACTGTGGGCACAATGTTTAGAAATGATCCTACGTTTGAGGTACGGGGCAGGGTTTACTGAGGCTTGACTATGAAACAAATAGAATCATAGCATGGTTTGAGTTGGAAGGGACCTTAAAGGACATCTAGTTCCAGCTCCCCCGCAGTGGACAGGGACACCTTCCACTGATCCAGGTTCCACAGAGCTCCATCCAAACTGGTCTTGAACTCCTCCAGTGATCAGGCATCCACAACTTCCCTGGGCAGTGCCTCACAACCCTCAGAAGAGGTTTTTTCCTAACATCTATCTAACCTGTTCTCTTGCAATTTGAACCCACTGCTTGGCTCCCTCCAGACCTTCATCACCATGGGAAGGGGACCCCGAAACAGTCACTGCCTCTGACCCCAAAGCCCTCGAGCCTTCCACTGATGAGTCCTACTAAACGTCAAGTGGGAACTCAGACACCGCAGCCCAAGCAAACCACTGCAGCCACCGGCTGGTGCCTGTTGCTTGGAGCCCCTGCGTGGGGCGGGTCTCGGCGCGCCCTGTCCTTGGGGTCAGGAATTCTTGTCAAAGAGCAAGCCGCCTCTTCCCAGGGCCTGGGGCCGGCGCGGCCCGGGGGCCGCAGCCGCGTCCCGGCGCTGTGCGCGCTCCGGGGGCTCCGCGCCGGCCCTTGCGGCACCGGGCGCTCCGCAGCGCGGCGGGGCGCGGGGCAGCCGGGGCGCCGAGCGGGGCAGCGCCGGGCGGGCAGCCCGGCCGTGCTCCTGCCCATCCCTGCGCCCGGCCGGAGCCATGGAGGAGTTCCTGCAGCGCGCCCAGTCCCGGCTGGTGAGTCACGGCGCGGGGCAGCGTGCGCGGGACTTCGCCCGACTTGCCGGAGACTGCGGCCGTCGGCCGCGCCCGCGCAGCCCCGGGTGCGGCGCCCGCGGGTGCTCTCCGAAACTTCTGGGGGCAGTGTTATGGTCCTCCCGGGCGGGCGGCGGGCAGGGGATGGGGCTGGTGACCTTCGCAGCGGCTGGGGCTGCGGCGTGTTTTGGGTGTGCGTTTTCTTCTCACACCGGGCTGCCCTCTAATTACTGCTGAATAATGCTGTGCTTTGCGAACCCACGAGCCCGTATCTGACAGGCATTGCGGGAGGTGTCAGCATGCCGTTTGAGGATTATTTGCGCGTTTCTTGGGACTTCGAGATGCATCAAGTTGCACAGTTGAAGGGAAGGTAATAATACGCGAAGTTGCTGGAGAAGTGTTATTTCTGTGGTCTAAACGGCACTGGCAGTAGGGGATAAGTTTAAATAACCAAAATATTAAATAATCACACAATATGCAAAGATTACCAAGGTTCAGCATCATAATTGTGTCTCAGTAGTCATCGGTCGTCAATACCGTGGTAGGAATCACAGAGGTAGATAGATCCTATTCTCAGGCGGCTTGTTGGTAGGGCTCTGCTGAAACTGCCGAGTATTTATTTTGTTTACAGTGACAGTTAATCTACCCCAGACAGTGCCTGCTCTTTTCCCCCTTATACGGACTCCAAAAGTAGGATGTTTTAAAGACGGGGATGGTCTTAGGCCAACTTGTTTTCCATTCTGATTTTCTCTGCAAAACTCGATTTTACTGACTTCTTACCTTTCACGTGTAGCCTGCATGCCCACTAGCTCTCCAGCTCTAAGAAATGTGTTCAGTTATAGGAGTAGGACTGGATTTATCCCATGCCTGCTTGTTTTATCCTGGGTATTTTATTTGGGTATTTGGTACTTGCAGGGCCTTCCCAGTTTCATAGATCTGTTAAGAATCTCTGGAGAGGGAGCAATCATAAGCCCAAGATGCTCTTTGACAGATGTGGTTCTGTATCTAAAAAGATTTGTAGAAAATTACTTGTTACACTATCCATTCTTGGCTAGCATTGTTGGAAATCAGAGAATCAACTAATTTTTTTAAGGAGTGGAGAAAGAGATGGAAAATTAATCCCTTGGTGTCTTCTTTAACTATGTTGTCGGACATTAAGGATAAATAAACATGAAGTGTGTAATTTTGGTCACATGCCAACAGAAGGTGTTTTAGAATGTATTTTTAGGAGTTTTTAGAATATTTCCCTTAGGTTTTCATATAAGCAGTTGCAATATTGGTAGCCCTCTTAAAAGATACTGCACAGTGCAGTTACAAATTCTTAATACATTTTTCACATTAGACATTCATGTATTACAAAATTTGAGATGGAGATGGTGGTTTTGACAAACCTTCTGCTCAAGAACATCATAGGTAGTCTTTCTTGATAGACATTAATTGTGCAGCAATAATGTTTCCCATTAGTAAGTGGCAAGCAGTAAAAACAATTTGTTTACCTCTAAAAGCAAACATTGCACTAATCTTCCTGAATAGCTTTTGATGATCACAAAGGAGTTGTCTAGAAAACCAGAACTGAAAGAGGCCCATGGAGAATAGATAAAATTATTTCTTTCATTTAGATCAAGGGAGGGGCACAGCAACTGAACGCACCACAGGAGCACCTTTATATTCCTGCAACGTGTGTTTTCAAAAGAAATGCAGAATTCTCTTTGTACCTTCTGAATCATGGGAGGAAAAGACATGTTTTGGAGGAGGCCTCCTCTACAAGAGTGGTATTGTGGCAGGAGAGTGTCTTTCAGACTCCATCTATGGGCATATCAGCAGAGCGTGGCTGGGGATGAAGCATCTTAGCACTGGTGTGTTCCGTTCAAAACAGATCCATAAATCTTATAGGTTGTCTTCAATTTGCCAGTTTACTCTGTACTACAGTGACCTGAAAGGGGTAACCCAGAAAAATTCAAGATTCGCATTCTGCAACAGGAAAGGCTGATGGTGTGTTTTCCTTTTAGCTTGTTCAGGCCTTTTGTGGGCAATCTCTCAGCTGGTAGCCATAGGCTGAGTTGAGGCAAAGCAATGAGCAGTCTTTGTTTTGACACTGATGTGAGGTAAAGCTGTGCAGGGGAATGACTAAGGAGGAAGGAGCTGCTGTGTGTTGTGCTACTGCAGCCATATCTGTGGAAGATGCTGAAAGGCCTACAGTTGTATCTGAGAGGCCTGTTGATGCCAGCGTCACAGTGCTGGCATTTCACACCACGGGTATTCTTGTTAGGTTAAACAGGTTACAGTGTGCTGACTACGTGCCTGCTACTCAGCATGAGTGAAGGAAAATTTTCACCAGAAGAACAGTTACAGTTGCTCCAGACCATGCAGGGGAACCTATTACAGGAAGTGCTTTGTCATTCATTTGGGTCTGGATCCAGCCACAATATTAATCAAGGCTATTTATCCGCATGGAGGAAATTACAGCCTCGGACTGTGATGCACAAAGGGCATGCTTGTTTTTTGTTTTCTAAGTCTTTGTATTGTCTACTTTCATCAATTGTTGAGAGGAAAATTCTCTGTGTATTATCTATTAATAATAAAGCCTCAACTAGACTATTCCTTCTTAGAAAACAATGGATTTTGCTTTCATAGCTTTTAAAACACCCTCAGTAATTTTCAGTATCAATCTTTAAAGTTGTTACATATAATCTATGTAAAACCAAGGAGGCAAAATTTTTGAAGGCAATACATGATGGGATATAAGAAATACTATACTGACATTTTTTCACATTTATGGTTCGGTTCTGCAGGTTTTTCTCCTTTTTTTTGTAAGTCTAGTAATAAAGCGACAATAGGTGAGACTAGATGAGATCAAAGATCTTTTTAAACCATTCTGTCTTGTCTAGTGGGAGATTATAAACAGTAGAAGACACAGGCTGATCAGGTGTTGAAAGCTTAGATCAAAATGTATAGCTGAACTAACATGTTAGCCACAGCTAGAACCATCTTCCATACATTCGGCTATGACATGTGCTTGGGTTTTTTTATGCTTTGGCTTCAACAAAATCCCTGAGGCAGTGAGTTTTACAGTTTTATCACGTGCTTTGTTTGACAGTGACAATATTCCTCTTTGTTTGCTGTAAATTGCCTGACAATTTCAATGTGTATTCTATGATGGTTCTACCTGAGTGAGTATTTTTATTTCACTTTGTCTCTGGCCTTTAATTAAGTAGTACCATATTCTCCTTGTCTTCTTTCAGACATTTTTAAGCTAAAGTTTTCTGTTGCCTCTTCATACATGAGCATAAGTCTATCACTCTGGTCATCCTTGTGCCCTTTCTCTGAAGATTTCATTTAACTGTTTGAAAGCTGGGGAGCCCAGAACCGCCTGTCAGGTTTAAGTCATAACAGCATAAAAGACTTACAGTAGTACAATTGTCTTCTCTCTTTTTTTTTCTTTTTCAATTTTCTTAAGGGTTCTTGCTATCCTACTGACTCTGTTTTATTGTCAGAAGGCGTTTTTCTGATGCTTTCAGAGTATCATGTAATGTGAATTCATGATGTTTTTGCTGCTTAGTAATACCTTTTTTAAAGCTCATCTGACAGTGTACAGCATCTCAGTACAGTTAAAAGTGAAGACTGGTTGTTTTCTCACATTTTCCCTACTCTGCACTTCTTGGCCTTCAAATCCATTTACTGTTTTATTTCCTAGTTCTCACTGTCATGAGTCCTTTCTGCAGTTCTTGTAGCCAGTTACAGATTTGACTCTCCTAAATAATCTGGTATTGTCTGCAGCTTTCCCCACCTCATTATTTCCCTGCCTTTCTTACTAGAAGTAATATTATTTATTATTTATGGATATGAGAAACAGCACATATCTCAGCACATATTCTTTTGAAGACTCCTTCATGGTTATTCTTCACTGAAAAACTGACCATTTGTTCCTTTCCTTCTTTTCCTGAACTTTTAATTCTGTGGTATGTCGTGAAAGGATGACACCCCTTTTTTCTTGGGTGATTTTGTTTCTTTATTGGCTTGTAGGAAACTTCAGTAATATTTTGGAAGATCCAAATGCAATACTTGCTGTCCTTCTCTGCATGCTTATTGAGTTATTTAAGAACTTTACTAAACCTTAAACAATTTTGTACAAAAAATGTCATGCTTTACAAACATTGTCTTTTCCCAGCTGTATTATGGTCTTAATCTCTTGGGATTAGACTCTTTCAGGTACAGGCAATCCATCCAGATGGAGAAGAGTTACTGATCAGTCAGTATAAAATTTTGTATAATTTATTCAAGAAAACAAATCAAAAGTTTAAGGTTTCAGTGGTGTAGCTTCAGACTGATTATCACAGCAGTTATCAAGATGTTAAAGTCAATCAAATAGAGAACTAAGCATTCAGAAATTACTTCCTCAGTAATTCTCTGACATGGAATGCTGTGTACCAAGGAAGGTACTTAAATTAGGTATTTTCCAAGTAATCTTACGTGCTTCAGACTGTTACAGTGAAGTGGAATGACTGTGAGAAGCTAAATCAAGGGAATATGTCAAGAAAGAAGCTGTAAGAATTTTAAAAATAAATTTACAGAATTGCCTCTGAGAGATACTGAAACAAGGACTGTCAGAGAGTGCTTTTCCCCTGGCTTTAGGTCTGTGCCTAATGGAGAACCTAATGCTTTGTATGCTGGCTTCAGGGAAGTCAGAGAACAGAATGAGCTCCAGAAAGGCTTAATGTGCTGATGATACTGAGATAACCACATACTGCAGCAAAGTGCTTCAAACTAGTAATTGAAGGATGGTCATCCTCCTGCAGAGAATGGCAAATTAGCTGGGAAAATAATCTTTCTAAATGCTTTGTCATCTTCAGCATTTGGATAGTATTCGGAAATTGGAATATTCGGTATTTGGAAAAAAAGCCCCAAACCCTCTAAAAATTGAAGTTCTTTTAGTCCCTTGCTGATACAAGAAAAGAGACCAGAATGCTAGACCAGTGTTACAC